TTATTTCCAGTTCTTGGCCTTTAAACAATTGAAATATTGGTACTCACAGTGGCATATAAGAAAGTAATAAACTGCATATTTGAGGGCAAATCACATATGAGCCAAATAAGAGCTCACTGGGATTAGGATTAGGTCAAACATAATAGCAGAACATAAGCAAATCTTATCTGAATTATGTAATGAATACACATGTCACAATTACATTAGAAAAGCATGGCAGCCCGTTCCAAACCAGTAAGAATAGTTTGTGCAAATAGTGGGTCTTTGTGTGTTTGAACTCCCACCACATAAGGGAAAACTCAATATGCATGCTAATGACCTACAATTACCAAATTAAAAAAGAAGAAAAATGCTAAAGGATGCCAGAGTGAACAGCAGCGAAAGCCACACAAAGACCCACTATCCTTTAATGTTTACAAATAAATTTTAACTTTAAGTTAGAAACACAAAGAAATAATCACAAGTGGCTCTAACATTCAAACGAAGTAAATGGATTGTGTAGGAGATATTTGATCAGGGCTGCCTGCCCTGCCTCCACGCTAGAGTCAAACTTGGATAGTGGGTCTCTGGGGTGCTTTCACAACTGGAAGACAACATTGGGTCCTAAAAAAAGAAAAATGAGGGATAAAATGAACATAACGCAAATTAGGCAGGTAAGAAAAAATTTGACTAATAATAACATGCAACATTAACTAAACAAATTTGAACTATTAAAATTCTCAGCCTTTAAAAAACATTCTACTTACATAATAAAATGAAAATCATACTTGTAAGGGCCAAAGAAAAACAAATGGCAAACTACACTTTAACCAGCTTTCACTGACTTATACAGACTATCAGCAGATGATTTATTTCTAAAAATCTGGGTAGGACAACAAAGATCTCCAATCAATTCCTGACTTTAAGGGTTAAGCATTTTCTGAACCATAGCCTATTAAAATTATAGGCTTATACAAATCTAATGTGAGTGAATTTTTCCTAGCTACCAATACAATTAACTCTATTCTTTACCTTCTTTGAAAAAGCAATTATGACTTCACAATTTCTGATAAATAATTATTTCAAATAAACAAAATCAGTCCTCCCCTCTGTCTTAGGTGATGTAAAAAGCTGTTTGGTTGTTTTACAGAAACAACAAACTTTCTCAGAGGAATCTATTTGGGAAATGTCCTCAGAATTAAAGAATTGAGAGCCCTTTCATTCTAGAATGGATGACAAACCTTTGGTCATTGATTTAGGTGAAACAATAAAGCATTCATTTTTAGATAATTACAGAAACAACAAACTTTCTCAGAGGAATCTATTTGGGAAATGTCCTCAGAATTAAAGAACTGAGAGCCCTTTCATTCTAGAATGGATGACAAACCTTTGGTCATTGATTTAGGTGAAACAATAAAGCATTCATTTTTAGATATTATCAAACTAAAATATGACATATGCATCAGCAAAAAACAAGGAAATAGGTAAGTTGCTGGTAATAATTTTATAACAAAGAGAGCACTGAAACTACAAAGGTACTTCAAAAAGTTCATGGAAAGACAAAGTTTGTGGAAAATAGAGTTGAAGGATAATATGAATCTTTCCATGAACTTTTTGAAGTATCCTGTACTCCTATTTTGAAATAATCTCTTGAACATTCTATTTTTCCAGCTCTCGATATATAAAATGATCGAGAAAATAACTGGCACCTCCTCCTATCCCCAACATTTGCCTTTCTGGCAAACTCTTACTACTTACTCTTCATGACCCAAATCAAATCCCCTCTGTGAAGTCTTCCAGGACATGCTTTCTTTTCCCACGAAGATTTACGGAATCTTTTCTCAATACATATTTGTATAAATATTCATGATAGCAATTCTTACATTTATCTGAATGTGTGTTCCCCACTAAATTCTAAAGCTGCTTCCAAGCAAGGACTATCTTTTCATGTTTTATTCCTGGTAAGTACATGGTAAACACTCAAAGAATACAGATGTCCCTTGGTATCTGTGGAGGGATTAGTTCCAGGACTGCTTGTGGATACCAAGATCTCTAGCTGCTCAAGTTCCTGATAGAAAGTGCTGTAGTATTTGCATATAACTTATGCATATCCTCCAGTGTTCTTTACATGATTTCTAGATTACTTATGATACTAATACTACGTAAATGCTATGTAAATATTTGTTATACTATATTGTTTAGGGAATAATGACAAGAAAAAAAAGTCTGTACATGTTCAGTACATACACAATATTTTTCCCCTGAATATTTTTGATCCAAGATTGGTTGAATCCACAGACATAGAACCCACAGATATGGAGGGCCGACTGTACTCACCAAATAAATGAATTTCTTAATTGGGTAGTGGGAAGAATGTTAACATAAAATTCAAAAACAACATAAAAAGTAAAATCTGAAGCACATGGAAACTCTGTTCCTTTGAAATCACTGAGTAGGTCAGAAATGGCTGAAGGACAACTTTCCTTTTTCTTCTTATTTCTATGTATCAACACTGCTATCTCCTTTTTTCATTTCAGGGATGGCTTGGAATTGGTGGTCTTCTAGAATTGTACTGTCCAGTATGGTAGCTAAAAGCCACAACTGGCTATTTAACTTTAAATTAATTAAAATTAAATTAAATTAAATTAAAAACTGAGTTTCTCAGTCATATTAGCAACACTCCAAATGCTCAAAAGCTACATGTGGCTAGTGGCTATTGTGTTGGAGAGTGCAGATATAGTCTATTCTCCTCACTGCAGAAAGTTCTATTGGATAGCACTATTTAGATTGGGTACTTCATCTATAAGCAGATTGGGGTTCTGACAGTTCTACACACACTAAACAAGCATTTTCTGGCATAAAGTAATTTCCATGGCAAATGTGTCCTTGGATAATTCATGTCAATCTATTTTCTGTATTATTCATGTATCAAACATTAACTACAAATAAAAAAAAAATGAATGACTACCTACTATGGTGTTTCTTTTAAAAATAAAAAGTTGTCAATTAACTTTCTGTGGGAAGGTTACTTCCCTAGGATGTTATCACTGTCTTAAAGTAGATTCCTCTAAAATAGTGATTTTGAAATTATTCCTAGAGGGAAACTCAAAAGGATTATCATAGAATGGGTAGGGGAAAGGAAGGGAAGGCCTGGGGGCATGGTCCTGTCCTTCCTTTAGAACAGCTTTTACCTGTTCTTTATATGCCTTATTCTAAGAGATTTAATAGGAAAAACGTGTCTCACCACTGAAAAACAAGAACAAGAACAAAAAAAAATCTGAAAAACAAAATATTTAGATCACAGACACTATGAAAACCAAATGTACTGACACACTGGAATGCCTTCAGGGATCACTACCTGAACCATCTTCCAGACTGACCAGGTCTGAAAAGTATCTTCCCCTCTCAGCTCCAAGAAAGGTGTTGCTCATATTTCTAACTGATCACATAAACTGGTTTCTAATTAATCACTGCAAACTGCCAAACCATAGGCAGAGCTTAAAAATGGACATTCATTAAGCAACCCAAGTTGTTATAATTTTCTTTACTACTTCTCCTGAAACCTTGAGACTTTTTTTGGGAATGAATATTCAAACCATAAAAAACTGGACACCTTACACCTCCACACTGGGAAATTTAGTTGCTTTACCTAAAGGGAGGTCTTCTCCCAGGATCAGAACTATCTTTATAAGCTCTAAAGTGAAAATACACAAAATTATAGGTACGGTATAAAATAAATTCATAATGCTTCCACTGAATCATAAGTGCATCTCAGATTTGACTGCGTTACCTTTTATATATTCTCAGCAGCTAAATTTACATGAAAGACTAAATCTTTTAAATAGTTTCACAAGAATGATAAAAATAAAATCATGATGTATCTTTTAAACAAAACCAAAAATCAAAAGGATAGGAAAAAGACATCCATTTTATAAAGGTTAAAAGTTGTTTCCAAGTACTGTTTATTCCCTACTTTATTACTAATGTTGTGTTTATTTTCAACTATAAGAAAGGCTAGGGAAGTATCAAGAGATAATTTTATATAACCCCAAATTTCACACTTTGAGATCTGGACCCTTGTTCTGAAAATAGTGGAACAGATCTTGATTCATACATTCCTTGTAGCATAAGGTAGCTATCTAAAGAATCACCTAATGAGATTTCACAAACACTTTAAACAGGCTTTCAGTTTTCTCCCAACCTGGAAGATGTGTAAACATGAGGGAAATAAATGAGAATGTTACAAAATTAATGGCATCAGTACACTAAAAGGATAATTTTGAATAGGACAATTACTGGCCACTTTCTATAAAGCTGAAAAAGAACATTGGATGCTGTGTGTAAACATGAGGGAAATAAATGAGAATGTTACAAAATTAATGGCATCAGTACACTAAAAAGATAATTTTGAATAGGACAATTACTGGCCACTTTCTATAAAGCTGAAAAAGAACATTGGATGCTGAAAAAGAGGACAGTGCGGGCCGGCCCGGTGGCGCACTGGATAGTGCGCCGCTTGGGAAGCGCGGCGGCGCTCCCATCCGAGGGTTCGGATCCCACATACAGACCGGCTCCCTCTCACTGGCTGAGCGAGGCGTGGGAGCAACACCGAGGCTTGCGATCCCGTTGCCGGTCCCCGGTCCGGTACGGGGGCAACACTGAGGGTTGCGATCCGTTGCCGGACACAGAAAAAAGACAAAAGACAAAAAAAAAAAAAAGAGGACAGTGCTGGAGGGACGCTGCAGCATAGATGGCTGTCACACCAAAGAACCCATAGAGAAACTATACTCTTTTTCATGTAAAGTCTAATGCTAAGGTTTGAAGCTACTGAAAAGTATTTAAAATAAAGCAGTGTAACTTTTGATCTTACAAAAGTTTCTTTTTTCTTTTTAAATTTTAAACATTAATCTACATTAGCTGTGAGTGCTGAGTTTAAGATCTGATCCAGAAAGTAATAAAGGCAGTGCTGCTTATTGAAGTTTTCACTCTAGATGAGAGATAAATAATTTGATACTACTTACACTGTTGACTTGGATCTGAGTCTGTCGTCATCTTAACATAGTTTGAAGGAAAGAGACCAGTCACCCCATTGACTTCTCCTTGCCACCAGTCAGGATCATCTTTGTTCATAACATTAATAAGTTGTCCCTTGGAGAAACTGAGCTCATCTTCATTATTCGCTACATAGTCATACATAGCAATCACCTGACATACTATCAGAAGAACAAAATAACAAATTAAACAAATGAATTATTTCTACATAAATCAAATGTTAAAACTCCCTAGGATTTAAATTACTATAATATTAAATATTAAAATTTCCTTTAAGCTGCTCTCTGTCCAGCTTTCCTTCCCCTGTTCTCTGTTTTACAAAAGTAAAAATTTCCCAATTGCAGATAAAAATCCAAGTAAATTGCTTCAGTTTATGTATGACAGTGTAGCAATTTCACATTGAAAAATTTCAAGGAATGAAATGGTTCAAGTATCAATGAACAGCAAGCTGTTTATACACAAAACATTTCAGAAAGGAAATTCTTTTTTTTTTTTNAGGATAATTTTGAATAGGACAATTACTGGCCACTTTCTATAAAGCTGAAAAAGAACATTGGATGCTGAAAAAGAGGACAGTGCTGGAGGGACGCTGCAGCATAGATGGCTGTCACACCAAAGAACCCATAGAGAAACTATACTCTTTTTCATGTAAAGTCTAATGCTAAGGTTTGAAGCTACTGAAAAGTATTTAAAATAAAGCAGTGTAACTTTTGATCTTACAAAAGTTTCTTTTTTCTTTTTAAATTTTAAACATTAATCTACATTAGCTGTGAGTGCTGAGTTTAAGATCTGATCCAGAAAGTAATAAAGGCAGTGCTGCTTATTGAAGTTTTCACTCTAGATGAGAGATAAATAATTTGATACTACTTACACTGTTGACTTGGATCTGAGTCTGTCGTCATCTTAACATAGTTTGAAGGAAAGAGACCAGTCACCCCATTGACTTCTCCTTGCCACCAGTCAGGATCATCTTTGTTCATAACATTAATAAGTTGTCCCTTGGAGAAACTGAGCTCATCTTCATTATTCGCTACATAGTCATACATAGCAATCACCTGACATACTATCAGAAGAACAAAATAACAAATTAAACAAATGAATTATTTCTACATAAATCAAATGTTAAAACTCCCTAGGATTTAAATTACTATAATATTAAATATTAAAATTTCCTTTAAGCTGCTCTCTGTCCAGCTTTCCTTCCCCTGTTCTCTGTTTTACAAAAGTAAAAATTTCCCAATTGCAGATAAAAATCCAAGTAAATTGCTTCAGTTTATGTATGACAGTGTAGCAATTTCACATTGAAAAATTTCAAGGAATGAAATGGTTCAAGTATCAATGAACAGCAAGCTGTTTATACACAAAACATTTCAGAAAGGAAATTCTTTTTTTTTTTTTTTCCTTTTTGTCTTTTTTTACTGACCGGTAACGGGATCGCAACCCTCGGTGTTGCGCCCGCACCGCGCTCAGCCAGTGAGCGGGAACCGGTCTCCACATGGGATCTGAACCCTCGGCGGGAGCGCTGCCGTGCTCCCAAGCGGCACACTCTCCAGTGCGCCACCGGGCCGGCCCGGAAAGGAAATTCTTAGTGGCGTGTTCCTTTTAAGCAGAGGTAAAGAAAGAACCCATTTTTAATATTTTTCAGAGAGTTAGCTAATTCAAGTAGTTGCTCAGTCTTAATAAACTTCTCTAAGAGGAAATACAAGTTAACACAATTCTGTACCAGGATGAAAGGCAGGTGTGGTTCTTTCACTACTTGGACCCAAAAGTTTAACATGGCTGGCAGGAAACCATCCCTTCTGTCGCTTTTTCCCTCTGGCCTATAAAATTAGCAAAAGGAATATAAAATTGAAAGATGAGATTAAAAATAATCATTGAGACATAACTTAAATATTAGAAAAACCTTGGCTGTGCAGTAAAAAATTCAACCTTGCCCAAAGAGAGGTCTGGCCTTTGCACTAGACTCGTGGGAAATAATCTCTAAATCTTTTGACTATCCTAACTGATAAGAGTGTCTTACTTTGCCTGGTCTTGGGCCATGCCAAATCTAACAAAGTGATTTATGGCAGATGTTTGGGTCATGCAGTTCCAGCTCAACCTCTGAAAGGGCTGGAGACTGAGTTCAGCCACATGGGCAATCAACCATATCTGTGTGACGGAGCCCCAATAATAACTCTGGACACCAAGGCTCTGGTGAGCTTCCCTGGTTGGCAATACTTTGTGTGTATTGTCACACATCATTGCCAAGAGAAGTTAATGCTGTTCATGACTCCCACTGGAAGAGGACAACTGGAAGCTCCCTTTGTGGAACGCTTCTGCATGTTGCTTCATGTGTCTCTTCTCTTGGCTAATTTTAATCTATATCCTTTTGCTGAAATAAGCTATAATTGTGAGTGAAACAGCTTTCGGTGAGTTCTGTGAGTCCTTCTAGTGAATCACCAAACTTGACGCTAGTCTTGGTGACTCCCAAACTTGTAACTGGTTTCAGAAATGAGGATGGTATTGGGGACACCTGAACTCAGTACTGGCCTTTCAGATCAACATTAAACAACAGGAAGACTGACTACAATATGTGCTTCAATGTGCTACTGAAAATGCCATCTGTAGAAGTCTATTTGGATGTCTTTAAGACTCAATGGTTTTCTGAATATTTCATACAAATAATATTTACAATCTAAAAAGGCTTTTCTAGAGTTTTCCTAATAAGTTCACATCAACCCTTAAAATGGTGCAGCCCACTGCAAATACTTCTTAATAATTAATCATGATGTCATACATAAAATTTGTGGAGAGCCATATCTCCCACTTAGTTGCATCCATCTTCAAAGTAAACCAGAAGGTGGAATTTCAGGGGATTATTCAAGAAGATATTAAATTTGAATGCCCACTCTTCTTTAGGAATCCAAAGACTCTGATTTGCAATGAACTGTGTATATCTTCTGCATTGCAATTATATATCAATCTTATTTAACAATACAGCTATTATCTCATCATCTTTTAACCCTAAAGGTGATTTTAGAAATGAGAAAAGAACTCTCTTTCTCTATCAAAACATATGCAATAAACATATGTTAACATTTTAGGAAAAAACCAGGCTCATCCATGTCTGTACTCTCTTTTCTTGCACTGCTATTTCAAAAACCTAAGACTACTGGGGACATTCCAATGGGCAGTATTTTCTCAGTACACAACCTGGATCATGCCTTTCTCTTAGAGGCTACACTGCAAGGCTGGGGCTATCCCAGGCAAAGATGATGCTATGCTTTCTTTTAAGAAGGTGACCTGCAGTTTATTAAGGCATGCATTATTGGAAAACGATCATGTGTTTAGAGAAAATTATTCTTTAAATTGTTACTTATAACATCAACTCAATTGTGCTAAAAATGAACAGGCAAAAGACTAGAGGGAAACATAAAACACTAAAATGTTGATACTGATAACCTCTAAATATTATGATTATGGATGATCTAAAATTTTTATTAATTTTACCTTTTTCATAAGCATGCATTACTTTTCTAATAAAATTGATTGATGTTATTTAAATAATATTACCTGTAACTCCCCTTGCCACCACCCACTTGTATTCTTCTTTAGAATTAATATTAACTGCCCTGGTGCAAGGCTAAGTTGTTCAGAACCAGAAGCAACATATGCTGATGTTACTTGAGCAATCTCTGAAAAGAACAAGAAATTATGAATTTATGACTATAACAGAGCAAACTACCTTAGCAATTCTTCAAGCTCACTATTATACATACCAGGTTTCTTGTTTGATGTTCCAGATTTGCTAGCACTCCCAAAACTCTACAAGGAAAAGATATCATGTTGTTTTAACATTTCTAACAATCCAGATGTAAAGTACAAAGGTTATTAGGAATTACAGATTTCTAATTCCCAGGATTCTTATTGCTTTAAGTGAAGATCAAAATAACAATGAGCCTTACATTAACCAAATAAGTGAAAAATCCAACACTTTCAAGGAGTTCTGGTCTGCTAATGGAATACATTACATACAAGTGGCTGATTTTGCCATCCACTGACTCAACAGGAAGAGCTCATTTTCTGAATCTTTCCTGAATACTAAACATGACTACCCAGGCCTAATGCAACCCATTCATCAACAGAGTTAGCATCAATACTCACTATATACAACATATGTGTCCTGGTTATGTTAAGGCACATGTGAGTTTTGCTCTGGCTTTCTCTAAGGAACCCTGACTCATCTATAGCTCCTGCTGGATAGGAGGCAATGTTTTTATTTTTTATTTTCTTACCGAGTTCTCCCCAAACTGACTGAACTTGACCTAAGAGCAAAAAATTCACACCCTGGGTAGCAACTATGACCTCTGTTTGACTTTAAAGGATAAATTGGGGCAACGTTATTTCCTATTTTTAGGAATTTGAACAAAAAAGGGAAAGGGTTAAAAAGATTTTTTATTTTCCTGTTAGTAGTGGATATAGCTGCAGAGGTGACTATAGTCAACGCTAACATTTTTTGAGTACTATATAACAGGCACTGCTCTAAGAGGTTACATATATTCAGCTATTTAGTCTTCACAATAACTCTAATTAAGTAATTACAATTACCCACATTTTACAGAGACGGGAACCGGGTCACACAAAGGTGAGGGAACTTGTCCATAGTCACCTATTCTCTGAGGGTGAAGCCAGGAGTCAACCCAGGTAGTCTGATTCCACTATACCACTGGTTCTCAATGTGCTGTTTGTAGGACCCTGGAAGTAGTTCTTGAGCCCCCACAGGGGTCCATGGGATGAAAACTATTTTTATAATAATACTAAGAGATCCTTTGACTTTCTCACTGTATTGACATTTATGATCGTCGGTAAGACTGCTGATGCCAATGACAGTGGCACCAAAGTCATACTAGTAGTCACGGGATTCTTCACTGCCATGTACTCACAGTAAAACAAAGCCAATTTGACTTTAGAATGTCTTTGGTCAAGCTGTAGAAATTTTACTAAATCATAATCCTTGAGTACACATTTTTTAAAAATTCTGTGTGACTAAACAGAACAAAATATTTTTGCTGCATACCAGCATATGAAGGTCGTCTCAAGGAAAAGCAGTTGTGTGATTAAATTGTGAGCTAAAGTAGGTTTTTCATGGAACAACATTTTTTTTTTTTTTTTGGTCTTTTTTCCGTGTCCAGCAACGGATCGCAACCCTCAGTGTTG